AACCGTTGTTCACCTCGGCAGCTACAATCTGTCCTGTGTCCAGTGGTAAGATTCAAACTTGCTGTTTGAAATTGAAACAGATGTCCATTGCAATGATTGTCAATATTTTGTAAGAGAAGACTTAAACTTGCTATGCGAGAAGGAATTTTTGTACCAAAAATTAAATTTTAAATACGAGCGGGAAAGTGTTTCTCCAGGGTATTTTACTGTGACTTACAGCATTTACCAACTGGTAAATTCAAATTATTACAAAATTTGTTTTTGTCACATAACTGCAGCATTCTTTGAATGTTATCTTCATGCTTTCATGAACAATATTTTACTGTTACAAAATTGAGTCCAATACAAAAATAGATTTGCAGGGTTGTCCTAATCAAAATTTGAACTATAAATTAATGGATATGTATTATCCATTTTTTCAACAATATTTCTGGAATAATAACTTGATAACATATCCTCTGTACATGTGAGACTAGTCAACTAGTCTTAAATGTATGGGACCATCTCACGATGCAACCAAAATACTGAGAAATGTTTGCAGTGTACCTTAATTCACTAGAGCATAATAGTATGTATACACATGTAGATTATATTGTCATGTATCTTTATAATGCAAGCAGAAAACCTATGTATAGTATAGTAATATTCATTTTGTTGAGGCATTACTTCTATTTCCATCTGGTCTTAAGAAACTGGCTTGGTTTTTAATGACACAGGCTAAGCCTCTTCTACCAAGAAAAATAAGACTGTGAATTCTTGAAGTGAATGAGAATGTAAGGACCAATATTGATACCAAATAATTATTGATTCTGTCATACTTCATAATTTTATATTTTTCAATTTTAATTTTTGTATAAAGTTAACAAATATGTTTCAAAAATCTATCTATTTTCTTTGATTATCTCTGTAATTAGTTTTCAAGTGCATCATTTTAGAAATGGAAAAAAGTTTAATACAACATGGAAATTTTGAAAACTACAATGCGTATTTCAAACACTTTGATAAGAGTACAATAATTTAACCATTGATTCTATTCTTATTAAAATTTCTCCATTCAATTTGTCTATCTTCTTTGAGAACATTTATTACAAATCTGTTAAATTCCGTTAAGCATTAAGTACTAGCCAGTCTCATCTAGAAAATTAGATATTTTGGCTATTCTTTCAGAAATCAAAATGTTACATCCATCAATGTGCAGACATATAGGATTAACATTCAAAACTATGTATGTTTATAAGGTTTGAATGAAGAAATATTTAAAAATAATTTCAGGTAGTCTTGTATAGAATGTCATGTGTAACTACAGTGATATGTGGTTATAGTTAATAATTAATATATAGAAAATGTGCTTTTGAGTAAATCCAGGATATAAATCATTGCAGTACACAGCAAATAATTGTGTTGCTTGTGTAGTACTACCACATCTGTAATTCTGCTGTAATGAAAATAATATTCACATATTCATATTGTTTGGTGCAAGTGGCAGATATACATATAAATAATATTTTTCAAAATATTTTAATGAACTCTATTGTCTTTGTGACTTGCTGTTAACAATATTTTGGTAAAAATAAACCAACTAAAATGAATAGAACTCAATGAAGAAAACAACTTATTTTATATCTTCTAATATTTACAAGCCTTTGTTTCAAATAGAAGTTTCTTTGGTCTTTTAATGTTTAATGTATTTATTGTTCTATTATGTATCTACTTGAAGAAGTTTAGAATCTATAGTGATAGTCTTTAATTTCAACAATAATATGTAATGAAATGCTCTCAGATTCATCCCAGAATGTAATATAAATATAATTTAACCAACAATGATAATTCAAAATAATTATAATAATTTTTAATTTTTCTGTGGTTGGGTACCAAAGAATTTCAGGATATTTTAATAAAATGTGAATTGAATATACATGTCTTTCAAATATATTTGAATTACAACCCCTGCAGAATTCTAGAATATTTTCTTCCACTTCAGTTCCGTAAACTGCTCATATAGTAGATTAATGGTGTGCTTTAAGCTTAATGTATAAAGTATTCACAGAATATTGGCAAATAAGTATCAACAAATTAACATGGTGTTTCCTTGACTTAGTGTGTATTGCCAAAAGATACAATAACAATAATACATAAACACTGAAGTTAAAATGCTCTTTTGAGAAGATGAAGTGATTCAGGTGACCAGGGTCATACAATAGCTCGACTTAAAAAATCGTATGACAATACATTATTGTAATATGGTTCTTAGTATTATTTTGGGACTGTTGTCTTATAGTTATACTCATATTAAATTTAGATCAGATATATATAATATGTTAATAACTTTTGTATGAAATTAAAAGGTGTAATAAAATTATTTTTCTCAAAGGAGTATTGGTTGTTTCTTTTAAACTTATTTGCTTATTTTTTTCTTACAAGTAAATATTGAAATGATGACATATAAATTCCTTGTGAATATTTTTTGTTTCCTCCTTTTGTCAACTCTTTCCTCATGTGTTGATTTTTAGACATGACAAATTCTATTTGCTTGTGAAATACTTAAGTTTGTAATCAATCTTCAAAAAATTAAATTTGTTTCACCTAAAACTTTTTTATTTCAGTCTTTTTCGACTTTTATTTTCAGTAGAATATCTATATTTTTAATGTTGCTGATATTTTCAGGGTATGTAGCAAGTGTGCATTACTAAACAGTTCAAGCAAATGGAAAAATAATGATTTGTGGAACACTTGAAAATGGTTATCATCTATAATGCAGGTATGGCTGAAATAATGGGAAATGACATTTGTTGAAAGAGTGTTCTAAATGTAAAATTGACAGCAAAATTGTTTTGGTGAATACAAATGAAAATGCTTATACACAGTACTTTTTCTCACAAACTAATTCAGAGAGCAGTTTAACATTATATTAAGTTCAGAAAGCAAAAGAGAGGGGTGGGAAATACAAAAGAAGAAGAAAAGAGATTTTTTAATTCTGAATCATTGCCTCTCTGGCACAGTGGTTCTTGAATGAATCTCATAGTGTGATGGCTCTCAATAATGACAGATGGCCTTGTTTGATAGTTACTTTGTTTTGTTTTTTCCATGCACTGAATATAATTTTGTGTTGTTTTTGTTTTTTGTTGTTGTTTTTTGGCCTCATGTCTGCAGTTGGCCTCTTCTTGTATATCTAAACAATATTCTCTACTTGTATCTAAACAATATTTATGAGGTCAACATTGGCAGTTTCTAAAATTTCTCTTTCCATAGCTATTAACACAAAGAATTCCACATTGTCTTCAGAAATACTGCTATATATTAGACTTATACAAGGATCTAGGATTTATCAGGCACATGGTACTCATTAGATACAATATTGTGAATATTCAAACCACTTTCTTTCCAAGCTAGGTAAAATGTCTCCAATAGCTTTGGTATCAAAAATACTGATCCAATTACTGAAATCTCAAAAAATGTGGCTTATACTTGTATCTGGAGTTTTTCAATTCATTTCTTTATGTCCTGTTTTACTTTTATAAAGATCAAATTTTTAATTGAAGTAAATATGGAACCTCTAGAATTTATCAGAACTGACAGACATTCAATCGCACCTAATTTTCACTAATGTGTTCTGATAAAGGTTCCAACTTGCTAAAATTTTCTACTTAAGGCAGAATTAAACCATCTAATCTTATGTGACTATTCTAAAGCCTTTTATCACATTTTGTGGCATCATAACCATTTTACGCATGCATATACTTTCTTTAACTCTTAGTGAAAGTTCAACACTTTCTGGGAGCCCCCCAACCAGCCTAGGACAATGAGCCAGGCACATGACTACCGTTTATGGCAGCTAATACAGCACCAGCTGATGTTTGAGCTGAAACTAGCATTATCAGAGGGAGGGACGAGGCCTCTGAGCCCTGTATTTGATATAATAAATTTTGTCTTAAATATTAAATACCACAAACAGTTGTAAAAAAATAGTATTTTTCACCTTTCTTTCTTTCCCAATTATAGAGCATGAAATTAAATATGTGACCTCTAATTTGTAGACTGTTTTTTCCTTGGTCAGTCTGATTACAAGCAACTTGTCATGACTAACTCTAATTAATCTTATACCTTTTTTAAGAAACAAATGCATCTTGAGCCATGCCAAAATGCATAAACTGTAAATTAATAGTGGTTACATACAAATTGTTTCTATACACTGTATTGAATTTATTATAATAATGTCATCTTCATCATCATCATTACCATCATCGTTATTATGAACTAATCAGAAATTAGCTTTTACCACCTGTTTTTATTGCTTTACCGTAATATTTACAGTAGCTGTTAGTCTTCCAAGTGTTCCAGCTGTTGTCATTTCTTTTGTAGTCTTCTTGAATCTCTGTTCCCTCATGAGTTGTATTTCCAGAACAATTTTGGCAATCTGTTGTAGTTCATTCTCGTCATGTTCCATTGAGAATGTTATGTTTTTTTCTTCTATATGCCCATTTTTGGTTTTCAATTTATTTCTAATATCTTTTTCCTTTGTTTCTTTTTATGATTCCCATGAGGTGTCTTACGAGTCTCGTATGTGCTGCCAGTAGTTAGTGGCAGATATACATGTAAGTGCCTATGATGGCAAAATTTTAGGGCCAGCAAGAATTGTCAAAAGAGCCTCTTTTTTGTCACAAGCAATTTTCTCTTTTTCTTTTCTTTTTTTCCTTTTTTTAATTTGTAGTTTGAGTTTTTGAACAAAAATATCAAATACTTGAAAATTAATTAACAGGTTGTTAATTTCTTCTGCTGTGTGACTTGAGATAAGTCAAAATTAGTTATGTTTACATTTTCAGATGTCATTCAATTAAGATATAATTACAATTACTGAAAATGAATTTTCATGTTTCATCAAGATAATTATTCATATTTTAAGTTTTAGGAATTATACTTATTTAAATACATGTAATTCTGATAATCTGTTTGAAGACTTCTTATTTCATTTATATTTTCTAGTCTTCATTGTAGGTTTCTAGGTAATTTTAAGAATTAAAGGTAGAACAACAGTAGAAACAATAATTAAGCATTTTGTTATTTGTATACATCAAAATAATGATTAAAAATTAATCGATTTTTCATTAAAAAAATTGAACATGCATAAATTATTATTTAAATTACCTATATTAAATTTTAGTAATAAATACATGTGTCCAATTTTTGAACATAAATGACACTTATTATTATCCATAACTTTTTGCCTGTGTTATCTGAAAAAAAATAGGTGGCAATTTTCATATGCTTACAGGCTTCACATACAATTTTTACATCCTTACCTTCTCTTTCATTATCCATATATCAGAGCCATACATTATTCTAGTTTTATTCACTGTATTGTGGAGTTTGTTTGGTTTGTACGTCCACGTCTCTGTCAGTGTCTCTTAATGATTCTGCAAATTCTGTTTAAGTCATTTAGTTTCTTTTCTATGTTTTTCTGAGTTAAATTGTACACACTTCTGATAATTATGAGAGATGAGAGTATTTTTAATTGTTCTCCAATTTTCCATTTATTACAATTTTGGCTCTCTTTTGTTCTTTGCCTTGTACTGCCATAACTTTTGTTTTCAGAATTGCTAGTTTCATTAAGTATTCTTGGGCCATTTTTGTCCGTTTAAAAACTGCTCATTGTAAATCATCTCCAGAAACCATTATAACAGTTTGGTCATCAACATACGACATTGTATCCATCTTTTCTGATTTATATTCCCTGGTTAGCTTCCCTTCTCCATTTTCTCACTAGGTGGTGAATATACATATATGTTGACAAGGGTGATAATCCTCACCCTTGCCTACAACCACTGGTGGTTGTTTTTGCTACAGACTTTTCTTCCTCTCTTAGCAGTATTTTCTAAGTTCTTGTTATATTTTATGAGTTCTTGTATAAGTCTTGGATTTCCTTAAGCAATGGATTTTCTCCTTTTCAAGTATTTCCCAGTCTCTGCAGTTCACTTTGACATATGCCTTTTCATATGTAATAAAAGGTGGTAGATTTTACTTTTCATTGTTCATTGTTATTGGTAGAAACACCTAATTGCTCTGGAAACAATTATCTTAAAATCAATCTAAAAACTTAAGACCTTTCAATCAGTGGCTTAACGTTCATGCCAGCAAGGCCCACAATGCAGCTGGGTCCGTGTAAAAGAGTGCCTATTTTTAGGGCGCATTTTTATTATTTAAGGTACTAAAACAACTTACGTTTGCTATACACTTTTAGAACGGGGGCCCGGAGAAAAGTTTGCCGGGTGGGCCCTCATTCATTTCTTTCTGCTACTGCTTTCAATCAATCAATCAGTTAGCTAATCATTCAAGCTCTCTCCAGTTACTGTCAGGTTGGGTCAATATACTAAATAAATCTGAGGAGATGGAAATTTTGTTTTCAATAAATATATCATAATTTTTGGAATAAATCAATATTTTATCAAAAATACAATGATATGTTTTTCATTTATAACAATGTCGTTCAGAAAATTTTGTTTGCATATGTAAAATGTTTGAATTTCAATCTTTTATGAGAACAATTTAATAATGTATTGAAACCTGAAAATAATTTTTAGTATTTTCTTAACAATGAGCAAAATAATAAGCAAAAGAATATTTCAACTGTCTTTTAAAAATATTATTTACATTATTTTCTTAAAGATTCAATAGTCTCTTTGATAATAGAAACACAATCGAGCAGCTGTTCCTCCGTTATAATGAGAGGTGGAGCAAGTCTAATGATATCTCCGTGAGTAGGCTTCGCAAGAAGACCATTGTCTCTCAGTTTAAGGCAGACATCCCAGGCATCATACTCTGAAAAGAAGAAAGAATTCAATTTCAAAACCTGTCTGGACTAGGGATACAATCATGAATTGGAACATGGTTTGAAATAATATTTAAATTGACAATTGAAAGAGACAGAAAAAAAAATTGGTAATTCCAATTTTCTATTAAAAATGTCTTCATAGAACCACAATTTGCCAAAATTTCATGAATTTAATCGTTCTGAATAGGTCCTACAACAAGGCCTAAAACATTCACAATAGGCACCCAAGTTTTGATTTGCAAATTTTGGGTTGAAAACCTACTTTTACTCTCACTTTTATGTGACAGAAGAAAACTTAATTTGATTACTAATAGGAGTAATAGTATGTAATTCCCAGAAATTTCAAAACTTCATTGACTTTTAATGAGATTTTTTGAAATTATTAGACAACAAATTTTGTTCAAATGTTTCAAAGAATTGAGTGTTATTTATAAAAAGTAGAGAAAAAGTAAAGTTAATGACTCCTGGATCAAACTGGGATGCAAACTGTTGGATCATGACATGATGAACCAAAATATCCTAAATTTGATGTGCAAAATATTACATTTTTGTTTTATAAATTTACATGTAAAATTGCTTACCTTTTTGAATTACAATTGCATTCAGAAGTCCCTTCCCTCGTACAAGTTTTACGATATCACTCGGAAGTTTTTTCAGTTCTCCCATTAGTATTTTTCCCATAACATCAGCATTTTCTATTAACCTTTCATTTTTAATGACTTCTAGTGCAGCTGTTGCCACTTTACATGCCAGAGGATTTCCTCCATATGTGGATCCATGTTCACCAGGTTTAATGCACAAAACAATGTCATCGTTGGCTAATACTGCTGAGACCTGTGTAACAAAATTGTGAAAATTGGTTTGTAAGTATATCTCAAATCTGAATTTTAGCCATTTTAGCTGAAAAGTAATAACATGTTTTGTATTAGCAATACGTGTTATTTCGCTTAAAGAACTTTAAGTAAAATGTCATCTTTTCCATCAAGAAATGTCAGGGGAAAATCCAGAAAGTATTTCAGGGAAGGATGAGAAGGGATTCGGTTCAGATATTCCCTGCCATATAAATGTTTGTGAATCAGTTTTTTAAAAAAATTGTTAGCTTGAAATTTAAAATAATATGTTGTCATAATTGGGGTTCCCCTTTCGATGTGATGTGATCATTGTGTGATAATTATTTTGAATAAATTGACTATATTACAAAACATGTTGCTGGAGAAAGAACTGGCCACATGGCCTCTTTGGCTCCTCCTTGGATCCGCCACTGAATCAGGTTCATATAATTCTTCAAAAGGAAGTGTACACTTCTACACTTCAAAACTATAGCCTACATTCTTCTCTAAATAACAGTTGGTGTTACTTTTAACTTTAGATTTTTTATATTTTCTCTTTCATCTATAAGTTTTCATATGGTTTCCCAAAAATGTCTCAATTCTTTGCCAGGTAGTTGAAACTTGAAGTCAATACGCAAGTTCAAATGTGAACCTAGTGTCTTATTTCTAAGCCTGTAAATGTTACATAATTGAAGATGATTCAGAGTGTCAACAACTAGAACAATATTTATTGTATAAAAATGATACTGACATATTGATAAATGTTTAGGCCATCATCTTTGTCATCATGAACTATCCAGAAATTAGCTATTCACCAACACTTGTTTCTGTTGGTTTACCACAGTATTTTTGATAGCTATTTTTCTTCCAAGCGATCCTGCCGTAGTCCTTTCTTTTGTGTATTTCTTCTACTATAAGAATAACAGGTTTGATTTTCAATTTACCACTAATATTCTTATTACTCAGTCTGTCTCTTGTGATTCTCATGAGGTATCTTAGGAATCTCAATGTCTCACCAATGTATCTTAATCACAATCTCCTGTAGTTTCTGCTTTCTATTTCATTATCTGCATCACAGAGCCATACATGATTCTAGGTTTAGTTGCTGTTTTGTGGAGTTCCAGTTTTGTTTCTGGGTCCATGTCTCTGCTGAAGTGTTATTAATTGTTTTGCAACTTCTATTGTAGTTATTTAGTTTCTTTTCTATGTCTACCTGATTGAGCTTGAACACAATTGACATTTCTGAATTTTGAGAACATATTTACTTGATTCCTTAATTTTCTAATTATTACAATTTTGACTGTTCTTTGTTTTTTGTAGCCGTAACTTTTGTTTTCGAGACTGCTATATTCATGAAGTATTCTTGAGCCTCTCTTATAGGTTTAAAAACTGCTCTTTTTAAATTATCATGGGAATCCATTATGATAGTTTGGTCAGCAAAAAGATCTTATCAGATTGTATCCATATTTTTGTCTTTTCTGATTTGTATTCCTTGTCATTTTAATTCTTGAGTTCTTGTTTATATTAGGGTTGCCTTGATCAACTAATTTGGGGTTTTCTGCTCTTCTAGTATTTCCTATACTTTCTGTCGGTTTACTCAAATGTCTTTTCATAATGCTGTAAAATTATAAAAATCTAAAATTTGGTACATTCTAAGTGTTCTTTATTGTTTATTGTTGTTATTGTTTTTCATTAAATAAAAAAATTATACTTACTGGGTACACTCCTCCTGAGAGAGCCTTTCCAAGTACAAGTATATCAGGTCTCACGTTTTCATGATCAACAGCAAGAAGCTTTCCAGTTCTTCCTAGTCCAGTCTGAACTTCATCGGCAATCCACAGCACATTGTATTGTGAGCAGAGAGCCCTCACTCCTCTAAGGTAACCTTCTTTTGGGACAACCACACCTGCTTCCCCTTGAATGGGTTCACACATAAATGCACACACATGTGGATCCTTTAGAGCTTCCTGCAACATAACAGTCCTAGAATAATATTCATACTTCAAATTGACAAAAAAGAAGTTTTTATAATCTGTAAGGAAAATAGACTGTTGTAACAGAATCAAGTGAATGTCTTGAAATTAGTTAACCCTTCTAGATAGAAATTGTTCACATTGATTTACAAGAAATGTCACTTGAACAATACATGGAAATGAATTAATCCTTTCAAAATCCTAGCATTAATATGCATTTTACAGACAAGACAATTATTTACTAATCATGTCACTGCATGTATAATATAGCTCACCATGATGCTCATGCACGATACAGGTCTACCTAATATTTTACAACCCATTGATATAAAAGAATTAAAATTGATACACAAATTTATGAGTCAAGTAAAATCTTTTCTACTGAATAATTGATTCTATACAAATATAAGCTGTATTGATTATCAAAATGCAAAATTGTATTTATTGTAATAATATTTAATGCGTTAGTTATCATTTGTATTATATAATTCTAAAATAATAAAAATGTCTTTGGCAAGTATTGTACTTCAGCTTCTGGGTCAATATCCCCCTTCCTCAACACAATTAGATTTTTGGTCAAATTTCACTTGATCCAAAGAGCTCAGATGACCTATTGTTTTGCTTCTGGACATAAATGCAGCTCACTTTCTGAATAGGTTTTCTTTGAGGGGTTTATGGGGAATACAGTTATTAAATAACCATTCTCTCTGTACTTGTGGGAGTAAGATGATTCTTTGCAGTACAATTAGCGATGACAACCAAAATCAGTAGCTGCTATTGCAAACTTATTACATGGCTATAAATATTCTTGTTATCAAACCTTGCCAAAAGTTCTAATTCTACCCACCTTAATAATTCATGTTAATATAAAATAAAAGGTAGGGTAGAGATTTCAGAGATTTCATTTGATGTTAAATAAATTAAAAAATATAATAGTAAAGTTTTTGAACTTATTTGCTACAAAATCATAGAAATTAAATACTGAAATTTTTTGTGGAATTTTTGATAAAACCATTGTTAACTGTACAGATGATGGATTGTACAAATGAAAGAATAGATATCATCACTGACAGGGCAGTGTCTCCCAACTCTCGCAAATCACATGGTTGACTGGAGATGAAGGCAATACCATCAAAAGTGGCTATACCTCTAAAACTATTTTGATATTCATTCTTGCATCAGATCAGTCACCTATTTTAGTCATCATATGAAGAAATAAGCAGTGTTTATCATAAATAATGATAAAATAAGATGTTACATAAAAGAAGAGGATTCAATACCTCAAGTGCTGACAGGTTGTCATAAGGAATAACAGAGAAACCAGGCATGAAGGGCCCAAATCCTCCGTAACATTCTGGATCTGTAGAACTGGAAACTGCTGCAAGTGTTCGCCCCCAGAAGTTCCCTTCCACAAATACAACTTTTGCCTTATTTTCAGGAATCTTTTTCTTAATGTATCCCCATTTCCTTGCCATCTTAATGGCTGTTTCACCTCCTTCCACTCCTGAAAAAGACAAATTTATCTTGATAGATGCACAAAAAGAAGGAATACAATGAAACATGAGTGAACGATAAATGAAATTTAATATTTATGATGAGTGTTGTTGGTCAATTTGCTTTCCAAGCATAGGCATGGAAAGAGGCTTATACCCTTTGGTGACATCCCCTTTACTGAATGAGAGGTAGGTGGTTTGTCAGTGTCTTGTGCTGAATGAATGATTTTAGGGGGGGTGGGGGTGCCAAGAGTAGTCAATGACGATGAAAATTGAATGTTTGTAGATTGAATAATGGTTCTGATGTAATGCATGGTGGAATGAAAAGCCAACCATATCATAATCACATGGTAAAACACCCATGCCTTCTGCAGGAGTTTAACTCAAGCCTATTGGCTC